ATATACAAGATCTTGTGGTAGCTCACAGCAAAAAAGAATGTGACAATGAATATATGTATGTTCCATGTATAACTGAAAAAATGTGCTCTACTCTGGAAATTGACACAACATTGTAAACTGAATATAATTCAGTAAAAAAAAAAAGAAAGAAAAAAAAGAAATGGATGTGGGCTTTAGGAGGAGAGAGGCTGGCCACTCAGGGACAGGCGCTGATGCTGCAGGTCTAAACCAGATTGGAGCTGGAGCAGAGCTCACTCTCAAAAGCTGGGATCCATGAAGAGTCCCCACAGCCTCAGAATGGAGTGAAGGGGAGCTTCACTGATGGGCTTAGGGAATCATCAAGCCATCTTGACCCCCTACAGCCACGAGGAGTTAGAGTCTCCCATAATATCAGCAGTACCAAGGTTGGGAAACCCTCAGCTAAGGAAGAAGCATCTCAGGCAGAGGGAACAGCACGTGCAAAGGCCCTGAAATGAGAGAAAATTGATGTGTTTAAAGAACAGGGAGGAAACCAGTTAAGTCTGCAGACTGATAAGCTGGAAGGGAGGGTAAGAAAGGCTGAGAGGGGGCCTTGTGAAGTATGTTAAGGAGTTTGTATTTTAAGTGACAGCAATGGGAAACCGCTGAAGGATTTTGAGTAATGTGGATTCTGGTTTATGTATGAAAATAATCACTCCACTATGTGAAGAACAGATTGGACATGGAAAAAGCAGGAGCAGGAAGATGAGTCAGAGGCTCTGCTGTCATCCAGGAGAGAGGTGGTGGTGGCTTGACATAGTGATGGACCAAAGTGCACGGCCCTGAGTGTTTTTTGGAGGCAGATCCATCAGGATTTGTGATGGACTAAATGTAGGACGTTAGGCAAAAGGAGGAATCCAGAGTGACTCCCAGGTCTTCTCCGGGCAAAGCTAGGTGTCAGTTTTTTTTCCTTTTGGTGGGAGGAGGTAATTAGGTTTACTTATTTATTTATTCTTAGAGGAGGTACTAAGGATTGAACCCAGCACCTCAGGCATGCTAAGTATGCACTCTACCACTTGAGCTATACCCTTCCCACTGGGTGTCAGTTTTTGCTTAAGCTGCCATAACAAAGCGTCACAGGCTGGGTGTCTTAAACAACAGAAGTTTGTTTTCTCTTAATTCTGGAGGCTGGAAGCCCAGGATCAAGGTGTCAGTAGGGTTGGCTTCTTCTGAGGCCTCAGTTTTATAGATGGCTGTCTTCTCCCTGTGTCCTCACATGGTCATCCTTCTGTGTGTATCTGTGTCCAAACTTCCTCTTCTTATAAGGACACTGGTCACATTGGGTCAGAACCCACACTAATGACCCCACTCTAACTTAGTTACCTCTTTAAAGATCCTGTCTCCAAACATAGTCACATTCTGAGGTACTGGGAGTTAGAATTTCAACATATGAGTTTTTAGAGGACACAACTCAGCCCATAAAACTGGTGCCACTTCCTAAGGTGGGAGAAGGGCTTTGAAGATTATGATGGAATATAGAACTCCACAATGAAACATAAGAAAATACGGTATGCCAGGAGATGACAGATAGATGGAGAGAGAAAGAGAGAGAGAGATGGAAGCTCTTGGATCTAAGAGCAAACAGGCAAATGACAAGTGTGCTGTCCCTACAGATTCTCTTGAGCATGAGCACAGAATGTTGCCCTGCTCATAACTGCAGAGCACACTTGGCAACAACAAAATCCACAGTAGAATGGATAAACACATTGTGGTATATCCTTGCAGTGGAATCTTAGTCAACAATGAAAATGGACAAACTACAGCCGCAATGTGATGGATCTCAAGCGCAGTGTTACATAAAAGAAACAAGTCGTAAAACAGTATGAACGGATGATCCCACTTCTATAAAGTCCCAAAGTAGGCAAGACCAAACTATAATACTGGATGTATATAAAGGTGGCAAGATATTTTTAATTAAGAAAATGATTTACGTGAAGTTCTAAAACATATGAAGCTAAGACATAGGTGATAGAAATCAGACCAATGGTTGCCTGGAGTGGGCATGTGGGCTGTCCATAAAGGGGCACAAGGGAACATTCTGGGTTAACAAGAAATGTCCTATATCCTGATCGTGGTGTTAGTCATAGGAATGTATAGATTCACTAAAATTCACTGGACTATACATATACAGCAGGTGCATTTTACTATATGTAAAGTGTACTATAATAAAGTTGACTTTTTAAATCAAGGGAATGAATATCACAAAAGCCAGAGTAATGGTTATTTCCAGTGAGGGAGGGAGAGGGTGTGAATAAGAAGTAGATTTCTGTTCAATTTCTTAACCTCATTGGTTGTTATGTAAACTTTGTTTTAAAATTATTCTGCAAACTACACATACATGTTTTATACAGTCTTCTCTGAGTATGGTGTATTTTATATTTAAATGAATATGTGTGTGATTAAATATATATGCAATTAAATATACTTACGTATGCAATGTCCATGGATTTTGAGAGAGAAAATGCCCACGAATGCCTCACTTTATAGAGGAAAACAAAACCACATTTTTAAAATGTAGGGACTCCAAATGTACACTATCCATTTATACTGTCTTTTATTTAAAAAAGGAAAAGAAAAAGTAATTCAATACACTTCACCCAACTGAGAAATCAACCCAAATAATTTTAGTTTGAGGAAGAAGCAATATAAAGGAAATAACAGTGGGAAACAAAATCAGTTAAACTTCAGAATTTATGTCTAAATCATTATTGTATGATTTTATTATAACACAGTTATTATATTTATTAAAAATGCTAAAGTTAATTCTTGGAAGAGAACACATAATTGGTTTTAATTAATACAAATAAGTGTTTGGGTCCCAAAGCTCATATCATCACAGCTATTTCTCACTTCCTTTCAAGATTCTGGGGAAGAGAATGGTGGCCGGGTCAGTGGGTTCTATTCAACCACTGAAGGGTGTGGGTCTTTCTTCTTAAGCAGGACTCTGTAAGTGGAAAATCAGATATTCTGGGTTGACAACAAAGTCGTAAGCTGGCCATGTGGGGATGGAATCTGGAGCTTCTGGGGAAGACCTAGGGCATCTCAGGGAAACAGTAAATGGTAGAGCTGCAGCCATCAAAAGAGGTTAGATGGGGTTCTTGGTAAAAACAACCCTGTTCTTCCTCAAGCCCAGTGCTGAGAGCTTTGCCCAAATTATTTCTAAAGTTCACAACAAAGCCATAAGGTGGGTACCATTATCCCCACTTTACAGATATGAAAACAGAAGCATGGAGACATCCTGAAACCAGGTATCATCTCATTAAGATCACCAATCTCAGTTTAGTTTGTTGTCCTTTGGTGCCCCAATCACCCTCCCCGACCCCGTGACCAGTTGATCTGGCTTCACCAGGTGCCTCAGGAATCAGGGATCCACTCTTCCGAGGCTCTGCGCCCGTAACCGCCAAGCTTCTGGCTTGTCCACAATCTGCTCCTCATGAGAAGCTTCGCTGTTGACCCCTTAACTCACTGGCCTCCCGCCCCTTCAGAAGGTACATCTCTTCCTGCCTGGCACAGCTGAGGTCCCAGTTTCTTTGTGAGGATGACGGTATCCACCTCATAAGGACTGTGGTGAAGAATAAATGAGATCATTGATGCCAAGTCCTGGGCACAGACTGCGGCATAATGTTAGCAGCTGGTATCACACACACACACACACACACACACACACACACACACACACACACATTGTGGCTGACAAAACATCCCCCATCTCTGCAGTTCCCAGTGAGCAGCCATGGTCTCGACATCCTCCCACTCACCTGAGTAGGTGGGTAAGTGTTTTCATGAGACCTGTTATTACCTGCTCTCCCAAACATCCTTGATCACATCCCTTCTTCTCCATCCCCTGTCCCCATACAGGGAAGATTCTATAAATGACAAGTCCCAGCCCCACTCACCTAGAGGCACAGAAGGGGCAGAGCTACAAACAGACCCAGCAAAAGGCAGAACTCCCAGATCCTTGTCTTCTGACATCTCACCTAGGAGTTCCGGCCCTCCACACTCTCACTTCCTGTCCATATTTTCTGTTATCTGTTTCCTTCCTCTGCTGTTTCTTCCCTTTAAACTTTGAAGTTATCAGGAAAGGGGGAGAACCTGCTAAAAAGGAAAATGACCCCAAACCACAGCCACAGTGGGGAGCTTGATGACACCTTGTCCCACACCCACTTCACCTGCGAGGGATCCCGCCCAGCCACCCGGCCCATTTCCTCTAGATCCCACACTGTCCTTGATTCTCAGCGGGGTGGCTTTGCACAGCTTGGGCCCTACCCTGCAGGCTGTGCCCGCCTGCTGTGGTCACACTGCAGGTCCTCTTGGGGGATGGTTTCTGGTCCAGCTGTGAGCAAGGTTTACATCCTGCACAGTTCAAAGCATCTTTGACCTGAACGCTCTCTTTAGTGTCCCATGGAGAGGAGCAGGGACGTACACCATTCTTACAATTCTAGATGTCAGAAGTCCAAAAGCAGTTTCCCTGGCTTTTTCTAGGATCTAGAGGCTTCTTGCATTGGCTCATGGCCCCTCATCACTCCACCTGGGCTTCCATCATCACATCCCTTTCTCTGATTCTAATCCTCCTGTCTCTGTTTTATCAGGACTTTTACTGTAACATTAGGCCCACCAGCTGATCTAGGATAATCTCATCTCAACATAATCACATCTGCCAAGTCCTTTTTGCTGTGGAAGGTAAAATATTCACAGGTTCTGGGGATTACAATGTGCACATCTTTAAGGGACTGTTATTCTGCCAAATAATGGAGCTGTAGTTGGAGACAGAGCCCACTGCCTTTTTCTTATAGCAACAAGTTCCTCTTTTTACATTATAAACACCATTTCACTCTGATCCAGGGGTCCCATGATCCCACCACCAGTTTGGTGATTCACTGGAAAGATTCACATAACTTAACAACAGTTTTTAATCATGGCTAAGGTTTATGACAGCAAAGGACACGGTGCAGGGATAGTAGGAGAGAGATCCACAGGCAAGGGCTAGAGGGGCGGGGTGCAGGCTTCCAAGTCACCCTCCCCTGCAAGGTTCGCACAAATGTGCATTTCTCTGCAGCTGTGGATTACAGAGATATGTGTGGGATGTCTCCACCCAGGGAAGCCCGCTGGAGTTGAGAGTCAAGAGTCTTAAAGAGGGTTGATCAGGTAGCTACAAATCAGGCACCAGGTGCACATCATGATTCTTCATGCTGACGTGAAAGGATACCAACGATCTGGTCCAGCCTGACCCACTGCCTCAGGTACAAAGAATAACATCACTAATCAGTGCCTATGCGAACTTTCCAGAGTTTTAGGCCTCAGAGTCTGGCTGAGAGTCATTGTCATGGCTCCGGGCATTCCCAGAAACAAGCGAGAACTGAACGAAAGAGACCAACTATGTCAAACGCGGACACGTGAACATCCCCTACCCACCTCTGCCTCCTGCCCAGGTAGGGTAATCCTGCATTCACCAGTGACTTCAACTTGGCTTCACCATTTCTGTGCTCCTGTGTGTCATCACTGTGCTAGTTCCTGAGGAGGCAGAGGGAGGTGAAAATCCCATTCTTGAGATGATGATTATCTTCTGCTGCATAATAATTACCTCCAAACTTACTTTAAAACAATGAACACGTATTATCTCACAGGAATCCCAGTGCAGTTCAGTGGGCACCTCTGCCTAGAGGTTTCTCACAAAGCTGCAGTCAGTATTGGCTGGGGCTGCAATCTCATCTGAAGGCTGGGCCGAGGGTGGGTCTGTTTCTCAGCTTGTTCACATGGCTGTTGGCAGGTTCAGTTGCTCACAGACCAGTGAACTCATGGCTGTCCTGGCTGTTGGTCAAAAGCCTCTCTCAGTTCCTTGCCATACTGGCCTCTCCACAGGGCAGCTCACAACATGGCATCTGGTTTCCATGACAGCAAACAAGTGAAAGCCAAAAAAACAGAAGCCAGAGTCATTTTGTACTCTAATGGCAGAAGCAGCACCCTGTTACTTTGCCTTATTCTATTCATTAAAAGCAAATCACTAAGTTGAGCCTGGTGAGTCACACTCACTTCACCTTAACTCTTACTGGGCTGTCTTTGTAAGCCCTCCAGCATGCCCAGGGAAAGGAAGCCTCTTACTCAGGGTGCTAAGAGTTGAGAGATCTATTGTCTCACCAATTAACTCATCAAAAGGATATCTTTCTTCAACTAAAAGTGATGCACTAACCAATTAATAGCTTGTTGTCACACCTGTCTAGAGGGGCAGGATCAGGGGTGTCTGCCACATTCCTTGTCCTGGAGGAAAGAGACCATGTTACCTAGTAAGTAGTCTGTAGTTGGATGCCCAAAGGCTCTACCTTGAGTCTCACCCATTCAAAACTTTTACCAACTTAGATGAAGATACAGAAGGCATGTGTGTTTCTTCTAGAGGTCATGCAAATCTAGTGGTTGAGGGGATCAAGAAGAGAAATAGTTGAGATGTGACTTCTGTACCCAGGGTATAAAGGCTGAACCTTAAGGGAGGAGAAAGGAACTCCTTCCCAGGGGCAGAGGCCACTGAGTATGGAGGACAGAGAGAGAGTGAGAGGGGAGGGTTCAGTCTGGAGCTGGGTCAGGCCACCTTCATGCCTGGCCACTGCCCCTCAAGCAAGGAGCTGAGCCCATTTCTGTTTGTAACTTGTCACAAAGAAACCTTCCTCCCAGCACTACTGCACCTAAGAGTGGAGCTCTCATCTGCTCTTTGAGGCAAGGCCTCCATTCTTTATCCCTTTCACCCATTACTGAATGTGTGTTGAGCACTGTACATTCAGACAGACATGGGCGTGGCCCTCTGGGGATAAAACCACCTTCCCCCATTGTGCCTGGAGTCAAGCAGGAGGCCCAGGAGGCCTGGCTCACTCTTCCCAGGTCCCTCACCTGCCCACCTATTTTCTGCTGCTGTGGACCCAAGCCAGCAATTGTAATGGCAGCTCCATGTGGGAGCTCCTCCTGTGTGGTCAAAGCCCTCTATGTATCATCTCAGTTATATACAAATCAAAGAAACAGACGATGAGCCATCAAACAGCCTCTCCTGGGCCACATAGTAAGTCAGCACCACTGGGGTCTGAATACAGACCTGTCTAAGTCCAGAGCATGTGTCCTTACACCATGTCCTCTCTGTCAGGCCACCCCATGAAAGGATTTGGCAAAGGTGACTCAGCTTCTGGGCACAAAAGTCTCTAGTGAGGCCAACTTATTTTCGATTTCACATTCCAGGGAGGGGTCGGGGCTGAGTCTGGATCCCAGGGAGGGGTCGGGGCTGAGTTTGAAGCAGAGAATCCAGGAGCTGTGTCACCAGACAGGGAGCCATTGGGATGGAAGCCGCAGGTGCTCTGGGCTGGGCTGATCATGGTGCATGGACATGTCCCTCAGAGGGGACGCTGAAGCCAGGCCAACAAAATCGCAGCATAGCTGAAGCTCAGGAAGAGGACAGCCTTCAGCAGGACCAGGAACAGGACGCTGGCAGAGAGCAGGAAGGGCCTGGTTGAGGAAATGGGGTCAAGGAGAAAGAGGCTGTTACACAGTCACCCAGAAGACCCCTCCATATCCTACATTTGCATCCCAAACTCAGGACACCAGTCATGGGCCATCAGCAGCCCCCATGCTGGTTCTCATAAGTTGTTCCCCAGAGGCAGGCCTGTGAGGGGCAGAGAGACAGAAGGGAGAGCAGAAGAGAGAACAGCTAGTGGCTGACAAGGCTGGGCGCTCACTGTGGGGACACTGGCTTCATGCTTCACCCAGTTCATCTCAGGTGTTCCTCACAATGGATCTGTGAGCGGTGCTGTCATTATGCTTGTGGCAGGTCATAAGAAGGATACAGTCTCCTCCTGGCTCTCTCTGGGACACTTGCTCATGAATCCCAGCCGCCATATTGTAAGGAAGCCAAGACCACATGCAGAGGCCACATGCGGAAGTCCAGCCAACAGTCTCTATTGAGTCTTGGTGAGTGAACATCAGCATGTAAGTGAAAGAGCTTTTTTTAAGTGATCCCAGCCCTCAGCACCTGAGTCTTCCAGCTGAGGTTCCAGATCTCCTGGAGCTGAGACAAATTTCCCTACTGTACCCTGTCCAAATTCCTGCCCCCAAATCCACGAACATCATAAGTGGTTACATTATGCCACTAAATTTTACCATAAAACATCCATAGTAACTAAGATCACCCTCTTTTTACAGATGAGGAAACTGAGGCATAGAGAAGTTAAGTAACTTGGCCAGTGTCATCACCCTGCTGGTAAAAAGTGGAGCTATCATGGAAACCCAAACATTGGACCTCACACTTAGAGGTGGGGAAGGAGACAGAGCAGAGAACTGAGGCAGAGGCCAGTACCAGGGGCCCTGAGCTCTAGCTGGGACCTGCAGTGGGTACTAAAGTGTCACACCAGGGCCAGGGGTGCCCCAGCCTCAGCATCCCCATCAGGGGACTGTCAAAGCCAGGACAGTAGGAATCCCCAGCAAGGGCTTGGCCTTTCTTACCATGGAGGAAGGCCAGGGCTGGACACGTGGCTGGTCAGAGCCAGGGCACCTGTGCTGGCTGACGTCCCAGTGGTCCTCATTGCTACTGTCACTGAGCCTGCAGACAAGGTCACAGATCACTCTCTGCCCCAACCTCCCAGTGGCTTAAAGTCTGCTGTCATTAGGAAACTGTACATCTCACCTTCCTCAAGGGACACTGGGACAGGAGGGGCAGCACAGAGAAAGGAGAAGCATCCTTGGGGGCCAGGGAGGTGCCAAGGCCAGCCAGAAGGAACCCAGTGTTACTCCCTTTCCAGGTACCCAGCCCCGTCTCACACCAGGACACACCAGGCATGAAGAGATGTCTCTGGTAGGGGGCGGTCCAAAGGAAGGATCACTCAGGGGCCTTGGCCAGCCCTCCAGGAAGCCCCCCAAGAGGACTTTGGGTGAGGTTCTGGCACATTCCTGCACTGTAAGGACTCTAGAAGCCCAGTGAGGACCAGAGAGCAGGTTGCAGGCCCTCCTTCTTTCCCTCACCCCTACAAACAGATCAGGCATATGGTGCAAAGTAAAATCACAGGAAAAACACCACCATGGATCTGCACATGCCCCGTGCTGAGTGGAGGCCTGAGCAAGCGAGCGAGGTGACAGTAATCACATACAGATGTGTTCATGCTGGGCTAAGACTGAGCAAGGGGCGGGGCTGGGGACGCAAAGGAAGCCTTGTGGCATGGGGGAGGTGATGCAGCTTAAATGCCACCTCATCAGAGGGGCCCTCCTTTGTGCCTTGAACCTAGAGTAACCGCCTCTCCCATCAAAAACCACTTAATCCCTACCTCACCCCCTCCCCGTTATCTTGCATTGCACCTGTCGCCATCCATGCAGATGTGAGTGGCCTCAGGTCTGTAGCAGGCGTTCCCTGCCCCACCAATGTTCCTGAGCTCTGCTGTCCTCTGCCGCTTCCTCTTCTCAGGCCCCACTCAGAGTCCACACCTGCCATCCCCCCTCCAGGCACATTCAGCTGTGGGCCTCACCAGGGCAGAGACTGAGTCTGTCTGCTCCCCTCTCCATCCCCTGCATCACCACACCCGGTCCATGATAGACAGGCAATAAATGTCTTCAATGACTGAGGAGGAAAACCAAAAGGACACGCCAGAGCCTATATGCAAAGCACCTGTTCCCTCTGGAATCTAGAGATCTGTGTGCCACAGCTTTGATTTGGTCTGGATGACAGCACCAATGACGACCATCTAGTAAATTCTAACAAACTACCAGCCACTGGGATCAGTGCTTTACACCTTTCAACCCATTTAATACTCACAACCACTCCCAAGTCAGTATCATTGTCAATCCCATTTTACAAATGGGGAAACTGAGGCACAAGCCCGTTAAGTCACTTACCCAACTCAGACAGTCAGCAAGTGGCAGAGCTGAGACCTGAACTCAGCTTTCTGACACCAGGGCCCAAGCTTTAACCCGACACATCCCACCTGCCACATTTATGCACAGGAAAGGATGCATGCTCTTACACACGTGTGTGCACACACACAGGTGTGCTCCTGGTCCGCCTGGGCAGCCCATCCTGGGGCCAGGCTGAACCCTCCCTCCACCTCTCCGCAAGACAGATCCAGACCCCTGACCTCAGCCCATGCCAGGCAAAGAGGGGAGGGGAGGCATTACCTGGAAAAACAGTCACTGCCACCGAGGCCCAGGGGACACTTCTGTCCACCCCACACCAGTAAGTGTCTGCATCTCCTTCCTCCAGGTCCTCTATGATCACAAGGAAAATGTGCTCCGTGGGGCTGTCTCGGAGGGTCACTCGGCCGCGTCTTACTTCCTGCCCCACCAAGTGTGCCGTTTCAATAACTCGGATGCAGTCTCTCCAGTCGGGCCCTCGGCACCAGAACTTCCTGTGACCCTCCTCTCCTGCACCGTACTGGCACTTCATCACCAGTGTCTCTCCTACTGTACCCTTTAAGGTCCTGGAGATGCTCAGAGTGAAACATCCTGAAAAACATAAATCCACACACCCTTAGCCAATGTGTCTCGGGCTCCAGCCCCCATCACCGTTCCTCACAGTGACCCTGAATGAGTGAACAGATACGCCACCCCCCATCCCTGGGTGTCCCCCACCACACCCTCCCGTGGTCAACCCTCTACATGCCTAGTCTTACAAACATGCATGCAGCTGTGTACCCCTCGGTTCTGTGAACAAGATGGTCTTTCTGCTGCTTCTCTAGGAGACCAGAAAGATCCTCCTTCTGTGGAAAATTAACCACCCCCCACCTAAATAATACACACATACTCATTCTTCTCTCAAACCCTTTCCCCACGTTAGCCTCTCTCCCCAAACCATCTGACCTTCCTGCATCTCTGGAGGAGATAGCTCGTGAATCATCTCCCTGGGGTGGGTGTCACTCCTATATGAGTCCGACTTGACACCCCTTCATTAAGTGCGGATCGAGAGAAAACTGAGTGCAGATCCAGCACCATCCTCATTATAATGGCTAACAGCAACGTAGGGCTCAGGAAGGACTGGGCACTGTCCTATGGTCTTACATGTGTTAATGGGTTTCATCCTCAAATCCTATCTGTCCTCGGAAGGACTCACCTAAGACTATCCCCAACATGACCAGGCATCATTAGTGCCTGAGTTAACACGGCGTTAGGATGGGCAGGATTTGGAATTCGAATATAGAGGAAGGAAGGAAGGAAGGAAGGAAGGAAGGAAGGAAGGAAGGAAGGAAGAGTTTCTCTCCAATTACAGGACTGAAGATGGAATAGTTTGATTCTAAGAAAGGATTTCGCAGTGGGTAACGTAGGCTGTCAGGTGTGGAGGGACTTGTGACCTCCTATCCAGCCGAGGAATTAGGTGGCAGCAGAGACCTAGGGGAAAGGGACTAAGAGGCAAGTGAGCAAAGGCTGAAGTATCTGTGCTAACTAGACTTCAATCAACCCCCTTTTCCACCCTGACAAGGACAACACACCATTGTACATGTAGAACCCCTCTTTGGACAGTAGTTCATGCCTTAAGTCAGGTAAAGGCAGATTTGGGGCGCAATTATGATGAGGATAATTTTCCCCTCCTCCACTCCAAACGGAGAATACATGGGAAAATAAGGTAGCTCAATACATGCGATCTTCCAGGGAGACTCTCCCAGCCTTCCGGATCTCCTATGCGGCTCTCTCCACAGAGTCTCCTTCTCCTACATTTGGCAGAGTAGACACACCCAAGTCCAAAGTCCCACTCACCTGGGAGGCAGAGGAGCAGGAAGGCCCCGGAAAGGTACATCTTCTGGCCCCGCTGGCTCATTCCTCTACCACATCTACAGAAGGAATAACACACTAGGCCCTCTTGGTTGTCTAGAGATCCAAAGCCAAGTTCTTGCTTCTCCTTTTTTGTTCCTCCTCCCATTCCAGCCTTGCTATCACATCACTTCTTGATTTTTCAAAACATAATTCTCAAAATGAACCATGAGACTTAGCAAGGGCCAAGGGCTCCTACAAAGCTTCAGGGTCCAGAGACAAAACTGGACACTTGATTTTTCCATAAAAGGCGTTACAAGGTCCTCATGGGAAAAGCAAAATTTGTTGGCTTCCTTTACACTTAATTTACAGATTGGTGTTTCATTTTAGAATTGTAGTGTTTACTTCATGTCTTTAGTGTTTCTACTTTTACTTACATTTAGAGGAATGGTTAGGGGCTCTAAAGCTGTCAGTCCTATGTTGCACCCACCCAGGTAACTGTGCAGGTCAAATTGACCAAAAAAAAAAAGCAGTGGGAACCCCTATGCACAGAACTTTGACCTACTTGTTTCCAAACCCTTTCCTTCCTTTTCCTGCTCAGCTTGTGTTTCAGGGACCTGAGCTTTGCAGGTTGTGTTTCCTAAGCTCTAAAGTCAATCTGCTCTGATTGCTTTCAGCCAATGGGAAGTCCTGGCAGGACAACAGAGGGAAGGGGTAGGGGAGGGCAGGGGGCTTCCTCACTGCCCACTCAGTGGGTGTGACTCCTCTATATTCCCGTCACCTCCATGACATCAGCCCCCCGGGAGAAGCTAGCTGTGCTTCTGCCTTCCAGCAAGTGACTCTGCAACTCTGGGTTGGGTTCTGGGTCTCTGCCTCCTAGCTCTGTCCCTCCAGCCTAAGGGTGGCCGGATCTTCTGCTGTTGCTAATCTCTGTGCCTACATTCTCTATTTGGCTTCTCAGAATTTCCATCACTTCCATTATAAACACTTCTGGTGGTTTCTGTTGTCCTGGTTGGGCCTTGACTGATATAAGCTGTCAGATCCTAATCTTCATGCTTTATATGCGGTTACTCAGGTGAAAGGGGCTTATTAAAAATAACAAAAGGTGCTCCTAATACTCTTACCACTCAGGAAATTGCAAGGGTTTTAGAAACTCTGTGTCAGGAACTGGGCACAAAAACTAAATATATATTTAGCACAGCTTTTAACTCTTTACGCCATCAAATCACTCAGTCATTTGGTAAAGCCAATGGACTTCCTTGTAGAATAATGCTCTCAAATGTCTGTAACAAAATGCAGAGGATTACAAAGGCAATCAATTACCCTGAAATGCTGCTGTCAAGAAATTTTCAAAAATCAGATTTGTGGGATTTCCATTTCTGCCCAAAGTGCAGTAACAAGGATTGATTTATAACCAAAAACAACAAGAGCAACTAAAAAACGAAAATAAAATCAGAATATATGAAACAACAGTTTGAAGACACTGGGCACCAGGCAAAGAAGGACAGTGATCCCTGAGGATGGAAAATAAACAAGTGGAGCCCTGTGATTGCCCCGTCTTATACTGGGAGTTTCCAGGCTGGGGCACAGGGAAGGGGAACCCCAGCAAAGGCCGGTAGACTTCCTGAGTTGGTAGGACAGAGCATAGATTCCAGGGAGACCAAGTTAGGCTGAGGGTCTCCAGCAAGTAGCCAGCAGAGAATGCTGATCAGTGCGTGCCTGTGAGAAAACTGACCAAGGCCAAAGAAACAACCTCCTGAGAGGATTAGAGAGGACAGTAACTGGGGTTCATACGAGCCTGGGAGTATTGGCTATTCCCACAGGCCCAACTAGAAAATCTCATAACTCATGGGACATTGGGAGGAGTACTCAAACAGTCCTTGCCTCAGTAGTGGGAAACAATTAGCCCTAGACTAACAAATCTTAGTATCAAGATTCAAAAGGATCAAAATATTTTCCGGTAACTTAACTACATCCCAGAACAAAATTCAAGAATATTTACAGGGCTACAAAAATACCTAGCACCTAACCAGGTAGAATTCGCAATGTCTAGCTTCCAATCAAAAATGACCAGGAAAGCAAAGAAGCAAGAAATTACAACCAATAATGACGGGGGGAAATCAATCAACTGAAACCAACCCAGGACTGACACCAATATTAGAAGCAGACAAGTAAATAAGAACATTAAAATTAATAAACGAGATTTTACTGCATAGCACAGGGAAATATATACAAGATCTTGTGGTAGCTCACAGCAAAAAAAAATGTGACAATGAATATATGTATGTTCATGTATAACTGAAAAATTGTGCTGTACACTGGAATTTGACACAACATTGTAAAATGACTATTACTCAATAAAAAATGTTTAAAAAAAAGAAAAAAAAGAATAGTTAAAATTTAAAAAAACATTAAAATTATTGTTTAAGTATACTTCATATGTTCAAAAAGCTAGAGGAAAGATTAAACATGTTAAGTGGAGACATGAAAGGTATTTGACAAGATCTATATTGAACTTTAAGAAATGAAAACTCTATCTGGGGTGAAAAATACACTAGACGGGGTTAAGAGCAGATTAGACAGTAGAAGGAAAGAGGACTGAACACGGAGACTTAAATGGAAATCTCTTCTGTAAATTGTGAAGCTTTCAGTTCTGGTCTCGCTCAGCCTCCGTGGTCTGGCACTAAGACCCCTCGCTGC